GTAGAGCATTGTGGTATCTATCCCACTGTGCAACTGGCGCAGGGTGCTTTGGGAAGGGTTTGCAATGCCTCATGGGGCAAGCACAGGATCACATGATACAGGTTTCCCAATTCCATTATTTCATGGGCATCCTACTACTTTGCCAGCTGCTATTAAACTGAAGTGGGGGGGAGGGTAGAAGAGGTGTGTGAGACAGGGAGTGTGTGTGTGTGTATGGAGGGGGGGAGAGAGACTGTGGTTTGGAATCAGAGAGTGTGTCAGCATGCTGTCTTGTAAGTTCAGACAGCGGCAGGAAGCAACCAGTCCTGAGGCAGGGGGAAACCCCGACATCAGCCCCCGCCTCCCTCCCTGGGATCTCTGCACAGCAATCTCTCGCTCTCACACACACCTGCCTCTGCGTTCAGCAGCACGAGCAGTCCACATTAATGGTTTGCTTTGTGTCCTGGAGCAGATCAGCACAGCACGCAATGGCTGTCAGAAACAGTGCTTTGAAAGGGGACGGGTGCATGTCTCCAGGGCAGCCGAGTTCAAAACAATGAGCAGAGCGATCACTTGAGGCATTATGGGACACCTCCAGAGGCCAATTACAGGGCAGAAAGCAATCAAGTGTCCACGCTGGCAATAGAGCGCTGGAGCCTCTGCACAAATAGCCTTACGACTCTCATGGAGGTGTTTTTTTTGCAACACTGCAACTGAGGAGTTTCTGCACAAAAAGTGGCTTGGCAGTGTGTACACGTCTGCAGTTTGAACACAAAAAGCTGCTTTTGCACAGAAACTTGCCAATCTAGACAAACCCTGAGTAAGGTGAGTTAGGAGAACAAGCACTCCCCTTAAACACGTGCAGCTTGAGTTCCAATCCACTCCTTGGGAGATACCTGCTGTGCACCTTAGGGCTTTCAACCAGCCTTTCCCTCCATATCTGGGGCACAATGGAGCTCCTTTTGGAAGTGTGAGTGGTGTGTGAAGTTTAGAGATGTTCAGCTCCTCACAAGCATACCCCTGATGCCATCTACCCGCCTCCCTGGATCTTGCTCTGAGACAGTTTTAGTAGTACTTACTCCATCTAGGATGTGAAATCTGGTATGATGGTATGGGCCAGGTGGAAGTGGGAGGAACTAGCTGCCACACTGTAAATAACACCAATTTGGCCAGTGCAAGAGTCCCAGTCCGGATGAAGTGGTTCTGAGCCAGGAAAGACTCACTGAACTCCTGGCAGGCAGCACTAAGCTTGATGGACTGGGTCTGGAATTGAGGCTGGGAACAATGTATGCCACAGAAACACAATGCTAAGACTGGAGAGCGTTAAAAATGGACAAGCTCTGTCCAACAGCACTGAGACCAGGAAAGGAGACCCACTACTGATATGGACATGAGCCATTTCTAACTTATGCAAGCCTCCTATGTACAGGTGGGTGTGCAGAGTTGTTTTCCCCACAGTAGTCCCTGATGTGGGCTAGGGATTCTGCATCTCCTCTCCCCTTGCTGTCTCCAGCTGATAAATACACTCTTCACAACCCATTAGCTACAACCTTACAACCTTCCCTCCTGATCACGGCCTTTACAGCATTACTGGGGGCATGGTAGCTCATTAATGGTGAGATGTGCCTAGAAAGACCTCACGAGGTTCCCCTCCCATGTGTTCCCATCAACTATGCCCCCCTCACTTCCACAGATTTCTCAAAAAGAAGGGAAATTCACAGCCAAAAAGCTTCTTTAATGTAGATGTAAGGCTACCTAGTGCTGCCTTGTGCCCTTCCAGAATCTGGAGATGGGCTAAACTGAACATTTCCAAACCAGGACATGCAGAATTAAGACAATGCCTCCCAGAGCATTACTTCAATTCTGTATTTCCTGCTGTTCAGAGTTTTACATGTAGCCAACCTCCACATTACAATTTAAGTTTAGCCACAATCCCACATTACAATTACAATGTAATTGTAAACAGGGTTCATCATTGGGTGGGTGTTTCTAGTGGAGTCCCACCGGAATTGTTTCGTGGCCCTACTCTATTTAACATATTTATTAAGGACCTGGAAGAATAAATAAAATCATCACTGAAAGTTTGTAGATCACTAAGACGGGGAAAATGATAAATAATGAAGAAGGCAAGTCACTGATACAGAGCAATCTAGATCACTTGGTAAAGTGGGCACAACAAAATGCATTTCAATACAGCAAAACGTAAAGTTATACCTCTAGGAACAAAGAATGCAGGCCATACTTACAGGACGCAGGACTCTATCTTGGGAAAAAGTGACTCTGAAAAAGACTTGGGGGCTGTGGTGGATAATCAGCTAAAAATGAGCTCCCAATGTCACAATGTGGCCAAAAGATCTTGGATGTATCAAACAGCAGATAACTGAGGAGTAGGAAGATTATTTTACCTCTCTTTGGCAATGACACAACTGCTGCTAGAATACTGTGTCCCCAATTCATAAAGGATGTTGATAAATAGCAGAGGGTTCAGAGAAGAGCCACAAGAATGATTAAAGGATTGGAAAACATCCCTTATAGTGGGGCTCAATCTGTTTAGTTTAACAAAGAGAAGATCAAGGGGAGACTTTATTCCAGTTTATAAGTACCTATGCAGAGAGGAACAGAAATTTGATAGTAGAGGGCTCTCCAACTAGCAGAAAAAAGCATAAGATCCAATTACTAGAAGTTGAAACGACAAATTCAGACTGGAAATAAGGTCAATTTTTCAACAGTCAGAGTATATTAGCCATGGAAACAGCTTACAAAGGGCTGTGGATTCTTCAACACTGTCAATTTTCTCAAAAAGATCTACTCTAATTCAACCAGGAATTAATTCAAGGAAATTCTATGGCCTATGTTATATGGGAGGTCAGACTAGATGATCACAGTGGTCACTTCTGGCTTTATTATCTATGAAAATGGCGACTATTGTTTCAGGCAGACTAAGGTGGTCGTCATTTCATTGCTCACATTCTGATCAAGTGTTCAATGTTATCTGCACAACCAATAGGCCTAGAAATGTAATTTTTTAGAACAGTTGAGATTCTGGAGCACAACTCTGCAGCAAGGATAAAATCCACAGCAAATCCTATAGCTGCAGAATACACAAGGCTTTGATTATAAGGCAAATTTTACAGATGAGTGAGGTACAGATACTGAGGCCTAGTTTTCAAGTGCCCAATAATAAATGATCAGTCTTCACCATGGCCTCAAGGGTCTGTACCAGGCCCAATGTTGTCAAATATGTTAATTAAAGAGTGGTGAGGTAGTAAAATTTGCTGACTCAAATTCAAGTTATTTAGGTTATTCAAGTCCTGAGAAGACAGAGGAATTCAGAGGGACTTAACTGAGCTAGGTGAACGGGCAACATGATGGAAAATGAAGTTCAGGGTCTATAAATGCAAAATAACGCACATTGGAAGGATAAAATGGAACTACTCATACACCTTACAAGTTCTGAATTAATTATAACAACTTATGCAGGCATCGCTGTGGAGTTTGCATGAAGACATATGCTCGAAAAAAGCAAATATGATGCTAAGGATAGGTCTACACTACAAAATTAGGCTGATTTTATTTAAGTCGACATTGAGCCTCCGATTTAAGCAAGTCAATTCTGCATGTCCCCAATATGCACATTGTGTCGGCGGAGCGCATCCTCACTAGCAGGGCCTGCATCGACTCATGGAGCGCTGCACTGTGGGTAGCTATCCCACAGTGCATGGAGCCAAGTGGAATGTTGGGGTAGGCTTGCAATTCCTCATGGGACCAAAACATTTGCGCGGGTGGTTATGGGAACATGGCATTAGCCTCCCATGATGCATTTACTGTGACATTCTATACTTTGGGGGAGTGCCCTGTAACCCCCATATTCCTCATCTGTATATAATTGTGATATTGCATATAAAGCAGGCCATGTGAAGTATCAGGGGAAAGGTTATGATCTGCTGAAAGTCATTTCTCTATCCATATATGTATATCATTAATGCATATGAAGTTATGAGAATTGTGTTGCATGGTTGTCACTAAAACATGCTGTAAATTGAGAGATCAACCAGATATTAGCTTCCCAGAGGCAACAGCAAGGAAAATAACCAACACCCGGGCAGGGTGTCAAACAACTCATCAACATCCATTGTCCAGCAAGGGAGCTACAATTCAATGACTCACCTGCATGAGGGCACACCAGGGGAATTTCTCAACCTTGCCTGGAGACTCAGCAATGCCCCCCAGACATGCCTGGACTTGTGTTCCCCAAGCACATGGGACTGAGGGTATAAAACAGAACATAGAGGCCCATGCTTCGCCTTTCGCCTGCCCCCACCTATGCTGCAAGCAACAAAGACCACTCACAGAAGACTCCAACAGAGGAGGCTGGCCCAGGTTTCAAGGGTGAAATCTGTATACTATGAACTGCAATATCCAGTGGGGTGAGAAAAACTGCTTAATCTAGATGTTGCCCAGTCTAATAGGGTTGAGAGTTTAGACTGCGTGCTTATATTTAATTGAATTTTATTTTGGTAACCAACTCTGACTTTTTGCCCATCACTTATAATCACTTTAAACCTATCTTTTGTAGTCAATAAATTTGTTTGACTGTTTATCTTTACCAGTGAGTTGTATGAAGTGTGTGGCAAAACTGCTCAGGGTACAAAGGCTGATGTATATCCACTTTCCATTGATGAAATGGTGAACCAATTAATAAATTTGCACTGACTCCTGGAAAGAACACATCACACAACAATTCTTTTTTAAAATACAAAACAAAAAACAACCAAACAACCACAAACATATTTCCCCCCACTGTCATAGAACTGAAAATAGATTAAGGAATTTTTGGCGAAACCTTCCAAGAGCATTTACTTTGGGACAGAGTCCCTGCTTGAAAACTGCAGCCCAAAAGATGAAAGTTTTTGAGGCTATAACAGAACCTGATGTGCAAACTTAGAAATAGCATTGCCTACTGCTGCCACTACAACTATTTCCTAATTGATGTTCAGCTTCCATGACACCCAGTCCCTTACCTTCCTTCGGTCTTCCACTCTGTCCACTGGCCAGTTGCAAACTTATACTCAAAGAGATCATTTTTATTCTTCAAATTGGAATTGGAATATATATCTCCAGTGTAGCCACCTGGATAACAACAATTTCATTAGACAAAGTTTCACATTTGGCACAATGTATACGCAGTTATGAACATTAGCAAATAGCTGATTAAAAATGACATAACTCCACTCAACAGTTCATCATATAGAATAATAGAGCTGTATTAAGGTTATCTCCTGTATCTTTACATTACAAAAAAAGTCTCAAGAATTTTTTTTAAAAGCTCTAGGGATGTTTGGATCTCAACTGCTGCATTTCCCAACAAGCCCTGTCTGGAAGTGTCAAAATCCTAGACTGTGATCTCCAAGCCCCCAGGCAGCCAAGTGCATGTCATACATTATAAGTCCAGAAGGGATCATTGTGATCATGTAGTCTGACCTCCTGTATAGCACAGGCCACAGAACATTGTCTATCCTCTTCATCTTGGAGACTCTCTCCAGAAGAGTTAGCATTGTCAGCCACTATATCATGACGACTGGAAGGCCCTGGATGTGATGCTGCCCAATTCCTTCTAGAACAGACAGATCTTTTGATAATTCAAGGAATTTTATTATGGTCCTTTATTTCTAGACACTGCCTCAGGTCTTTTGCCTTCTGCCAGCACAGGTGCTTGTGTTTGATACCTAGTGTGGAGAGTTGCTCACACAGCCACTAGTATACTATTTCTGGCTACTATTTCCTAGCTAGCTCTGCACATACTGCTCACCCCAAAAAATATGAAGGTACGGATGGTAGCACACTGTGATATCGCTTAACAAAAAAGTTTGTCTCTGAAAATAGCTTGCAAGTGAGCTCCACAGGGCTACATGAAGGGCTAGGAGGCTCCTGGACAACTTGATCCATGAACAGTGGAATGCAGAAAGGAGATCACACAGGCCACATCTGTAGTGACTGGTACTCTGCAAGACAGTGATGGGAGGACTATTTGCACCAACTGCATTACAATGGTGGTCAGACATATCCACACTGGCAATCTACTAGCTGAACTAACACTGATTAGCACTTATCCCCCATGGGGAATCAGGATAACTTAAACCAATGGATAGCAGACAAATAGTTGCCTTTAGCAAGTTTGTATATGGGCAAAAGAGCACTTTCCAATAATGGAAGGACACAGCCACAAGTTTCTCTACTGTAGAAAAGGCCTGTACCTCCAACACTACAGTCCCCTGGGCACAACACTAATGGCACAGGCTCAGTGGAGAAAACCTCACCTACTGAATCATCAGCAATACTACAAACTCTTTATCCCATGCAAATCAAAGTTTTCTGAGGTAAGGTAAGGTCACAATACTTTGATCAAATCAAAAGAACTGGTGTTTCCTCTCATATTAGAAAAGTGAATTAGCATTGGAAGGAGCCCAAGCAGAGCCCTGCTAAGTGCAGCTAAAATCACACTGAAAACGGAGCTTGTGATGTTAGGTGGATAGTTAGGGCAACAGGATCTTCATAGTCAATTTTGAGAAGGGCTCATTTTCACAGCTTTACCTGTACTAGAGGATCATTTTTAAGCCCTGGTTTAAAAACTATTTCTGCTAACACAAGTTAAACATTGTTTGCCTGGTCAGTGTGGATCAGGCCCAACTATTCTAAGGTACCATTAACAATTAGGCCGAATAGATTACTGATTAGGCACAACACATTTCATCAGAGTTAACACAAACCATCTTTAAGAACAGGTTTAAAAACTATTCCCTACCATGGGTAAAACCTTAAACTAGATAAAGCAGGGTGAAGAAAAGGGACAACCCGAAGTCTCCGACAAGTAGGTGATTTCATTATTCAGCTGTCCAGCCTTCTCTTTAATGCATTGGAAGGAAGTCACCTGACACCTGGGCTATGAATGAGAAGCTCCTATTTGTTTAAAGGATAACAATTTAAGTAGCGGGCTTGAGTAGTTGTTTGTTATTTTACACAAGTAATAGGCATCCTTCAGCCTCGAGAGACCATGGATATGTACCCGAGGCAAAGAATTTACTCAACTGATTTTATGGCAGCTGTGACTGAAGAGACCCACTTGAGAGAGACAATCTCTGCTGCATCTGACACATTTAAAGGTGGTGTTTTGACACTTTGGGCTCTGGCTTGTGCAAGCTCTTTTCTTCTCTTCTAAGCTGAACTGCTTCCTCTCATAACTCTGGAGAACTTTGTTAAGCTCTTGTTTCCAAAGGCTGCAGTCCAGAGTACGATCTTCCCAGTTATCCACATCCATTTCTTTTGCGGTCTCGCTTGCACACATCCTTGAAATGCAATTTTGGGCGCCCATTGGGTCTTTTTCCAGATGCCAGTTCACAATAGAGGATATCCTTTGGGATGTACCCATCATTCATTCGGCACACATGCCCAAGCCTCTGTTTGAGGAAGGTTTGGTCCTGGGTATACTGGCCCTCTTGGGCACCTCAGCTCAGCAACAGCTACAGGAGATTCCAAAAATCCAGCAAAGGCAACACATAGGTAAGCTATTGAGCCTCTTTTCCTGATGACAGTATAAGGTCCATGTCTCGCTCCCATACAAAAGTATGCTGATAACACATGCACAATACACACAGATCTTTGTGTTTTCTGTCAGTTTGTTGTTTTGCCATACCCTCTGGCTCAGTCATAGACATTGTTGCGGCAGCTTTTCCAATGCGGATATTGAGTTCTGTTTCAAGTGAAAGATTGACTGCGACAGTAGACCCCAGGTATGTGAACTTGTTCACCACTTCAAGTTCATAGTTGTTGATCTTGATGGAGGGTGCTTCTTCAACTCCTTGGCACATTATGTTCGTCTTTTTTAGGCTTATGGTAAGCCCGAAGTCTTGGCAGGCACTGGAAAAACTGTCCATGAGGTTTTGGAGATGGGCTTCTGTGTGGGTTGTCACAGCTGCATCGTCAGCGAAAAGGAGGTGTTAGATGAAGGCCTTCCAAGTCTTGGTTTTAGATCTGAGTCTTGCAAGATTGAACAAAAACAACAAGGAGTCCAGTGGCACCTTAAAGACTAAGATTTATTTGGGCATAAGCTTTCGTGGGTAAAAAACCCACTTCTTCAGATGCATGGAGGCATCTGAAGAAGTGGGTTTTTACCCATGAAAGCTTATGCCCAAATAAATCTGTTAATCTTTAAGGTGCCACCGGACTCCTCGTTGTTTTTATGGATACAGACTAACACAGCTACCACTCTGAAGATTGAACAGCTTTCCATCAGATCTTGTGTGCAAGCAGATTCCCTCAGTTGAGTAACCAAAAGCTTGTTTCAGTTGTAAAAAGAAGATCCAAAACAGAGTTGAGGCAAGTACACAGCCTTGCTTGACCCTGCTACAAATCTGGAAACCCTCTGAGACTGAGCAGTCATATTAGACTGTACCATACATGTTTTCATGGACAGACCAAATCATGCTCAAGAGCTTGGGGGGACATCCAATCTTTTTTAGAAGCAAAAATAGTCCACTTCTAAAGGCTATGTAAAGGAGCTTTGTTTTCTGCATTTCTCTTGTAGTTGTCTCAGTGAGAGGATTATGTCAAAAGTAGACCTTTCGGCACTGAAGCCGCACTGTGATTCAGGATAGATTCTGTCTGCAAGGGTCTGAAGTCTGTTCAGGACGACTCACACAAAGGCTTTTCCCATGATGCTAAGAAAGGAAATGCCACGATAGTTGTTACAGTCACTCCTGTCACCCTTGTTTTTAAGAGAGTGATGATGTTGGCGTCTCTCATTTCTTGTGGTACTTCGTCTTCTTTCCAGCAGAGCAACTCTTGAAGGTGTTGCAATAAGATAGTTTTTCTGCATTTTATCACCTCTGATGGTATTCAGTTTTTTCTGGGACAAAAGAAAGGAAATTCAAACCTGAAGTCCTGGCTATAAATCAGCCACAGGGAGGGACTGAACTGGAGATCTTTGACTCATGCCTACACACCTCCTAAATTTAACACTCCCTTTTAAAAAATAGCCTGATAAATTCTCAAAACATTCATCATTCATAGTACACAAAGCCTGAGTTTGTCACTGGCTTACCAAACACAAACATGCTGCTCCCATAGACTACTGCTGAATGATGATACCGGGGCGCTGGAGGGGTCCCTGTGGTAAAAGCCCTGGGGGAATAACACACAGATAGGGTTGACTGCTGCTTCCTTTGTATGTTTCAAGTACACAAAGAAATTATTTAAGTTGGGTATGAAGATATTTGTTTTGGGAAGGCAATTAACTGAAGTAGTTATTTCAGTGTTAATAAACAAGCATTTTCATTTATTCTATATTTTCTAATCATGCTGACCATGATTTTATGGTAAATTAAGTGTTTTATTAAGTTTAATTATTTTCTAAACTATATCATGCAAAGATTAAATATGAATGTTGAAATAAATTCTGCAGCACTATTATACAGCTACGTGGTAAGATAACACACCGCTCACAGCCCAGGCTGGAGTGGGGCAAAATTGGCTTTAACTCTTCTCAATCCTGGGCTGCTCTGGGAGCTGGATGAGTTCTCTCTGTAATGAAGACAGCCTTCAGAGGGTGTCTAAACGACAGCAGATTCCCTGGGCTGCTCTATGGGCAGCAGTGCTGTCCCAAATCTCAGCGGCACCACTGACACAGCCCCTGGCACGCCCCCTACACCAGAAATTGTGAGGGGATTCCAAGAAGTCAGCTTTACAACCATCTTCCACAGTGCTTGCTGTAACTGGAGCTCTTAAAGACTCTTTAAACAACTCCCAACTGTTTAACTGGTGTAAAGGGGCTGAAACAGGGGTGAGGATCTCACCCACCGTCAACAAATACATGAATGAGGTGGAAATTAAAATAACCTTGACTCCACGCAAAAAAAAAAATCAAAAAAATCTCCTGCTCTCAAAGAAGATTTTACTTAAGTTAACCCATTTTGGACAGCTGTCAAGTCCAGTAGACTTCTATGGCAGGAATTAAATCAGTAATAAACATGAGAAATAGTCTCATACCTGCACCAAGAGCAATCCTTTACGTCAAATCTCAATAGGTCATTCAGCATTGTTTTTCTGCAATGGAAAGGGATGGAAAAGATATAATGAATGTTTAGCTACATATGTAGAACAAAGACAAACTACAACAGCACTAAAACTTTGTAAGAATAGGAATTGCCAGAACAGAGCACATCAAGGATCCAGCTAGTCCAGTATGCTGTCTCTCACTTAGCCAGTACCAGATGCTCCAGAGGAAGGTGCAAGGAACCCCATTGTTGGCACTTACAGAATACCCTGCCCATAAGGAAGTTCTCTTATCCCTGTCAGCTAACTTGTGGTATCATGCAGGAGAGTTTATAGCCCTTGGAAAAAAACATTTTTTCTGTCCAATACATCTGTGAATGTTCTTAATATCCATATAAATAGATAATTCTAACATCCTACTAAGTGTTTGGCATCTGGGATGCATTGTGGCAGGAATTTCCATAGCAAGTTATGTGCCAAAAGAAAAAGTGTGCCTTTTTATCAATTTTAGTGTCAACATAAATTCTCAAGACTTTCATCATCTGGCCCTGGGGAGCCCTCACTCCTGCAGCGAAGCCATGCAGCAGAGGGTAAGGAAGCGGCCCGTCTAAGGCCAACAGGTTGAACTCTTCTGCTATGTGTTGCCACAGAGAACAATGAATGCCCAAAGCTGCACTGAACTGCCAACGTAACAAACACCCATAAAAGATAGAAAAACTAAGGACCCTGCTCATCATTCTTACACAGAAAGGAATGAATCATGTATATGTGACAGTCTGTATCCTCATGTTCACCCTTTTTACAAAACTATAATGGATTTTGTACAAAGCTATCATTTGAAAATTCACAATGTACTGATCATTATTGTCCTGGTAAAATATGCATGGCAATATTGTATGTAAAGTTATAAGATTCTACTGTATAACATTGTTGTAACATGCTCCAAATTCAGAAAATCAGGCACAAACCAAATCCTCAGAGACAAAAGGCAAACTGATGCCTCAGCCAGGTGTCTACAAAATCCGATGGACTATCACCTGGTTAAGCAGCCATTCTTTGGCAAGAAAAAGGGTGTGAGCGAGAAATTTATATGTTGGCAAAGAAACAGCTGGAAGTTCCCATCCCACAGACTGTCGCCTGAACCCCAGCTGGAGAGGATTCTCAAAGACGAGAATTGCTATAAGAGAGAGGTGCAAACTCCCCAGATTCTCTCTCCCTTCATCTCTACTCACAGCATCAAAACCACATGAAGGAAAAAGGAGGCATCATTAGACTGGGGAGGGATCCTGGCTGAAAGATTCAGACATTAAGACTACTAGAACATATGGTGAGAGAGTTTTTTGCTTTAAGTTCACTTGACCCTTTCTACACTACGAGGTTAGGTCAAATTTAGCCGCGTTAGTTTGATTTTAAAAGCAATGCGTCTACACATCCAACCCCGTTCCGTCAACCTAAAGGGCTCTTAAAATCAACTGCTGTACTCCTCCCCGGCAAGGGGAGTAGAGCTAAAATCGACCTAGCTAGATCGAATTTGGGGTATTGCAGATGCAATTCAACGGTATTGGCCTCTGAGAGCTATCCCAGAGTGCTCGAATGTGACCACTCTGGACAGCACTTTCAACTCCGATGCACTAGCCAGGTACACAAGAAAAGCCCTGGGAAATTTTGAATTTCATTTCCTGTTTGGTCAGCGTGGTGAGCTCAGCAGCACAGGTGACCATGCAGTCCCAGAATTGCAAACGAGCTCCAGCATAGACCGAACAGGAGACACTGGATATGATTGCTGTATGGGGAGAAGAATCTGTGCAGGCCAAACTCCGATCAAAAAGAAGAAATGCTAATATATATGCCACAATCGCACAGGGCATAGTGGAGAGAGGCTAAAACAGGGACACACAGCAGTGCCGCGTGAATGTTAAGGAGCTCAGGCAAGCCTACCAAAAGACAGACGGGGCAAACAGTCGTTCCGGGTCAGAGCCCCATACATGCCACTTCTATGATCAGTTGCATGGCATTCTGGGGGGGGGACCCTACCACTACCCCATCACTGTCCATGGACACCTGCAAGGGGGGAGTCTCACGCAACAGGGAGGAGGATTTTGTGGAGGAGGAGAATGCACAGCAGGCAAGCGAAGAATCCGTTCTCCCCGGCAGCGAGGACCTTTTCATCACCCTGGAGCCAATACCCTCCCAAGGCAGGTTCCCAGACCCTGAAGGCACTTCTGGTGAGTGCCATTTGTAACTACACTACAGGGGTTAAAAGCAATTGTGTTTAATGTTTGATTTGCCCTGAAGACTTGGGATGCATTCGCAGCCAGTACAACTACTGGAAAAGTCTGTTAACGCGTCTGGGGATGGAGCGGGAATCTTCCAGGGACATCTCCATGAAGCTCTCCTGGAGGTACTCTGAAAGCCTCTGCAGAAGGTTTCTGGGGAGGGCCGCCTTATTTCGTCCTCCACAGTAGGACACTTTACCACGCCAAGCCAGTAGCAAGTAGTCTGGAATCATTGCAGCACAAAGCATGGCAGCGAATGGTCCTGGGTTTTGGTTGCATTCAAGCAACATTCGGTCTATATCTTTCTGGGTTAACCTCAGGAGAGTAGTATCATTCATGGTCACCTGGTTGAAATAGGAGAATTTTTGTAAGGGAACAGTAAAAGGACCCCGCTCATGCTGGGCTATTTGAGCTTGGCTAAAAGGGATGATCCCTGAGAATAGCCACGCGGTGGGGGGAGGGGTGAAGGGATCATCCCAGAGACTAGCCACACGGCGGGGTGGGGGGAGGGAGGTTCTGCACATCCACCCAAAAACCGCAGCCCCTCCTTTTAAATGGCAAACCCAGACGGCTTTGCTTGCTATGGGAAAGGAGGACGCTGCAGTTTGAAACCATTCCCATGTTATGAAGGCAGAAGAAGCCAACCCTGCGTACCCTTTGGCTTACCATGGCTGCCTGGAAACCAAATTCTGTTGCCCAGCCGTGTGTGATGTGTTACCATAATGGCAGGCCCTCAATATAAAAGGTAAAATGCGACCTTGTACCTAAAGCACATGTGCTATCTGCTGTGAATTGCTTCATTCACTGTGAATCTCAGAAATGTATCTTCTTAAATTCTACTCTCCCTTTTTATCCTCCCCCTTCCCCGCAGGTGCAAATGTTTCTATGCTCCCCCTAACATCTCCGTCCCAGAGGTTATCGCAGATTAGAAGGCGAAAAAAACGCACTTGCGATGACATGTTTTCCGAACTCATGCAGTCCTCCCGCACTGATAGGGCACAGCTGAATGCATGGAGGCATTCAGTGACAAAGGCCAGGAAAGCATTAAGTGAGCACGATGAGAAGAGGCAGGAGGCGATGCGGAGGCTAATGGGGGAGCAAACTGACATGTTCAGGCGTCTGGTGGAGCTGCAGGAAAGGCAACAAGAACACAGACCGCCGCTGCATGCACTGTATAACTGCCTGACCTCCTCCCCATGTTCCATATCCTCCTCACCCAGATGCCCAAAAACGCGGGGGGAAGGGAAGACTCCGGGCACCCAGCCACTCCACTCCAGAGGATGGCCCAAGCAACAGAAGGCTGTCATTCAAACAGTTTTGATTTGTAGTGTGGCTACAATAAGCAATGTGGCCTTCTCCTTCCCTCCTCCCCCACCCCACCTGGACTACCTTGTCAGTTATCTCACTTTTTTTTTTTTTTTAATTAACAAAGAAAGAATGCATGGTTTCAAAACAACAGTGACTTTATTTCCTTTGACAGCTGTGATCGAAAGGGGGAGGGTGGCTGGCTTACAGGGAATTAAAATCAACAAAGGGGGCGGGTTTGCATCAAGGAGAAACACACACAACTGTCACACTATAGCCTGGCCAGTCATGAAACTGGTTTTCAAAGCCTCTCTGATGCGCAGTGCACCTAGCTGTGCACTTCGAATCGCCCTGGTGTCTGGCTGCTCAAAATCAGACTCCAGGCGATTTGCCTCAACCTCCCACCCCACCATAAACATCTCCCCCTTACTCTCACAGATATTATGGAGCAAACAGCAAGCAGCAATAACAATGGGAATACTGGTTGCGCTGAGGTCAGCAAACCTAATCAGCAAACAGCACCAGCAAGCTTTTAAATGTCCAAAGGCACATTCTACCACCATTCTGCACTTGCTCAGCCTATAGTTGAACTGCTCCTTATTACTGTCCAGGCTGCCTGTGTATGCCTTCATGAGCCATGGGAGCAAGGGATAGGCTTGGCCAAGGATAACTATTGGCATTTCAACATCCCCAATGGTAATTTTCTGGTCTGGGAAGTAAGTCCCTTCTTGCAGCTGCTCGAACAGCCCGGAGTTCCTAAAGATGCGAGCGTCATGCACCTTTCCCGGCCATTCCACATTGATGTCGGTGAAACGTCCCTTGTGATCCACCGGTGCTTGCAGCACCATTGAGAAGTACCCCTTGTGGTTTGCGTACTGGTTGGCAAGGTGGTCCGGTGCCAAGATAGGGATATGCGTTCTGTCTATCGCCCCACCACAGTTAGAGAACCCCATTGCAGCAAAGCCATCCACTATGACCTGCACATTTCCCAGAGTCACTACCCTTGTTAGCAAAAGGTCAGTGATTGCATTGGCTACTTGGATCACAGCAGCCCCCACCTGCAACAATGTTTTTGCCCCATCAGGCATTGGGAACTTAACCCAGAATTCCAATGGGCAGCGGAGACTGCGGGGACTGTGGGATAGCTACCCACAGTGCACTGCTCCGTGAGTCAATACTGTGAGGATGCACTCCGCCGAATTAAGGTGCTTAGTGGGGACATACAAAATCGACTGTATAAAATCGCTTCCTAAAGATCGACGTCTATAAAATCGACCTAATTTTGTAGTGTAGACATATCCTTAGCTTGTTAAGTTAGGTATTAGTTGCATTTTACCTTTTATTTTTCTGTAAACAATTCTGACTTATGTCTCATTACTTGCAATCACTTAAAAATCTATCTCCCCTTGTAAGTATTTTCACACTTGCTTCTTATCAAACTGTCTGTATTGAGCCATCTTGATTATCACT